TATGAGGAATGCAGTATTGTGCACACAGTACATTGGATTTTGCTTTTGATCTGTTGGTATTGTCACTCAAGACTTCATGTTATTCTTAGTATACTTGCACAGGTTGAACCTCTCTTAGGTTTAATTCAAAGGGACTCCAAAATTATATTTTTGTGGACTGTTTTCTATTGAGGGAATTTTGTTGGTTAATCAATGGTAATTTCTTTCAGGTCAAATTATTAGAACTGCTTTCAGTCCAATTCACAGGAATCTGCCTCATCCCTAAATAAAAATAATTTGCGCTTGGTTTTGTTTTTTGTTTTTTTGAAAATGTGCTGTTCTAAAAGGTATAGCCACAATTTTACAACAAAACAAGGAAAAAAATTGAATAATGGAGGTTTCACCCAATTTCAAATTGAACTTGTTCAACATGATGAAACAGTATAAATTCAGCAATATAAAAGCTTCAGAATGAACTTTAAGTTTGAATTAAGGGAAGCCAAGATGCAATAATTACTTGACCAATATGTTGACACTGTCTGGTTCGCAGACCACTTTGCAGTCCACCACGCAGTTGTCATGATGTTCCCCACAAACCGCGTTTGTTTCACCATCTGGCGAAGTCAACTGCCTTTTAGCATAATCAGCAGCCAAGACTTTCGATGCCTGGAGTTGCTGTTGCATCAGGTTATCAGACGGTTTTGCAGGTGCAAGATTTGTCCTTGAGTCTCTGCCTGGACGCTGACTATTGCTGCTGCTGCTGGATACAGCAACTCCACTTTCCAGAGGCATTAGAGACAAACTTGACTTTGTGTCATCTTGGGATTTCACCTATATATTAGGAGCATAGAGATGGAATGAGCATTAAATTGCTGGGGAAAAAAACCTGAAAAAAGCTGCTACCTGGGTATCTAACCCTTCTGTGGTAAAGTTGGATTTTTTCCCCAGATTTTGGGTGCACTCAGGAATGGCATTTAAAAAAACCATGACAGTGTGTGAAGGGTGAAGTCAGGAAAAATTCTTGTATTTTTTTCTTCAGTTTGCCACAGAAAAATTTCCCTTGAAAATGAAAAAGGCTCCCTTTTTCCCTTTGACCTTGTGTTGTTTCTCCATTCAAAGATTAACGTGAAACAGACTGATGGAGGCCCAAGCATGTATAAAATTTGAATTATGGACAGTTTAAATTTGAATGAAAGCCAGGAGTCCTGGTTTGAGGTCAATATGGAAAAAGTCTGTCTTGGGAGATTCTCAGCATTTCTTTATCCCTGGATAAAATCCAACGTGTCCCTACCCCACCTGGCAGGGGTTGCATAACTTTGTGCAAAAATGAAATGCAGGCCCAAGGGGAAAAAGTCCCACATTGCCCTGGGATGGAAAGGAGGCTGCCAATGTCCAAGGGTTAAATAGGCTCTAATTACCTTGCTTTGAATGCTTGCTGGAGATGCACAGAAGTTGACTAATGCAGGCCCAAGGGGAAAAAGTCCCACATTGCCCTGGGATGGAAAGGAGGCTGCCAATGTCCAAGGGTTAAATAGGCTCTAATTACCTTGCTTTGAATGCTTGCTGGAGATGCACAGAAGTTGACACATTTGGGAAAAATTCTCTCTGAGAAATATTTTATAATTTTTCTGATTACTGTATTTTTCAGATGTAGGTCTTCCACATTTTTGAATGCGCATTACAACAAATAAAATTTAAATTTTTTTATGAATGTTTAAAACATTTTCCTGGTAGAAATTTCCTAACTAACAGGCAGGCACAGTCTGAACTTTCAAATGACAAATGTAACTGGCTGGTTCTTGTAGCAGAGATGGAAGCTGTCATCAATGAAAAACATGCTTCCAATTGGTTCCAAACATCATTCTCTTAAAATGGAAAAACTTGTGAAACTGATGGAATGCATGACTGATTTTTCTTTCCAGAAGATCACTCAATTAAAAAAAAATACTGTATCATGAGAATTTCAGATAATCAAAATTTAATTGATTGTGGACAGTTCTTATGCTATGAAAATATTTTCCATTATTAAATTTCAAAAGTCTCGGTATAAAAAATGAATACGTTTAACAAACTTTTTATGAAGTCCCCAGCACAAGCTTGTTGCTGAAAAAAATTGAAAATTATTTCAGGGATAATATTGTGTCATACACTTTTTTCCATTTATCTGGTAAGTTTTCTCATCATTATTTTTTGAAACATACATACAACCAGTAAAATTTCAACAGAGTTTAATTTTTAAATGCACCAATTTAGTTCACATGCAGGAGTGAGTTGAGATGACGTCTATATAAAGCAGCAATAAAACTTGAAATGGCCTGAGGCAAGAATTCAATAGAAAAGCTTCTTTTTTGAATTGAAGAAGCTGTTGTATTCAATTCCAGAGTCTGATTCGGCTGTTAAAAAAGCGCATTGCATCTATAATTATATTAAATTCGGTAGATCCAGACGCAGAGGTATAATTGATTAAATTCAAAAAATCGCTCCAATTGGTTGGATTGCTTCGACTATAATGGGTTCAGGTGCTGCATATTATTTTTAGGGTACATTTTTAACACATATAGCCGGAAAGAAAAGTCGATTTCTCCAGATTAATAATAATAATAACCCCCTTTGAATTATTTTGAATAAGTCACTGACAAAGCTTATGAATTTATAGCAGTACTGTATATACAAGTACATTACAGTATATGAACTTACAAATTCTTCTTTCAACTTTTTCGCAGCGGCGTCTGGATCCAAACCAGCGTCGAATTTTTCCATGACGCTCATGAGAAACTTCCTGAATGCAGACATTTTCATTACAGGGTTCATGGGTTCTATTGCTGACGACGCGGGGCCGGCGGGAGACTTGGGTTCCTTATCATGGGGTAAGATTTCCTCATCATCGCTATCGTCCAGGTGATGAGGGTAGGGATCGGGTTCGATTTCGGGCTCTGATTTCGGCAAAGGACTGATCATCTCCCCGACGACAGTGATTAAGTCTATGGCCTTTCCTGCCATTCCTGCTGCTGTGGCAATGACACCCACAGCAGCCTCTGGGTTCGGGTTCGGGGCTGCATTCGTCGTCGTCATCATGCAGCACACCAGCATCAACGTCATCATCATAATGAGAAGAAGAAGAAAATGGTGAGGAGTCGCTGGACGGGCCAGTCTTGGCCTGCTGCCGGTGGCCCGTTTCCATTTTGGTCGGGAATCCTGGCCCACATGATGATGCTTGGCGTTTCCGTCAAGTAACTGATGGAGACTATACGAGTTAGATGTTGCAAATTAAGCTGCTTGCAAAATTTAATTTAAGATTCAATTTGGAACATCAGAATGCTGACGATATGTGACACGCAGACAGTGACACCGATTCATCACAGGTTTGATTTCAAGACTAGACCACATTTTATGGCCTTAATTTCAAGAAAGAAATCAGAAAAGCATCCTCTCCCTGCTTTGATATGTTCACTTAGGGCTACCCTGTATATTTTCTCTCACACAGGTATCATAAGAAAATAAACAAGCACAAAACACAATCAAAAACACCAATCAGCTCATGATGAAACTTATTTTTCACAACAATATTTTCTTTCGTGATATGAATCTCAAATAATTTTAAGACTTGCACAAGAGATTTCTATTGCACTGCTACAAAAACTTGTGATGCAATAGTTATAGAATCAAGAAAAACGGCATTTTTTCATCCTTAACTTTTGAGTGGGACTATAGATCATCTACAAAAATTTTTACAAGAATTATTGTTGGAAATGCAAAATGTTTGGTGGGAAAGTAGTTATTCGGATCATTTTAGAATTCTCCTTCAAAAGCATGTAAAATTGCACCTTATGTTCCCTGAAAATCAATCGCTGAGAATGCAGCAGATATAAAATTTTGAAAAATCGGTTTTCACTTTCTTCCGAGCGAAAAAAAACATGAAAATTCATTGCCTCAAATCACTTCATTTTATTGAGCTCCAAAAGCTACTTTTTGGGCTTGGATGTGCCAATCAGCATTTCTCACCTCGTTTCTTAAATCACGTGCTGCCATTTTCGTAGAAAAATCCGAAAATCACATATTTGAAAACCTTTCCACCAATAAGTCCAATGAAAAATACGAAACCCGTGATTTCAAGCCAAAATATCACTGAATAATCCAAAATATGAGTTCCGAACGCATTCGCCTAATTTTTCTATTTTTGAAGAAAAGCTGCTATTTAATTTTTTCACTGATGTCAGAAAAAACTCAGCTCACTCGTCTGTGCAATGCTCCTTTTGTCAAAGCCGATTGTTAAATCACTGGCCAGCAGCTGAAGTGAACACTGCTGCAACTCCGCCAAAAAAGTGAAGAGTCAGCAAATTTTTTCCATTCGGAAATAATTTTTTTTATAATATTCTTCAAGGTTTATGCAATGACGTACAATTTCTCAATAATTGCATCCTGCTTTTATTTGAACAAAACGCAGCAATTTCCACAAATGTGAGGACAGTTTTCCCGCCGTATTGCTATGACAAAAATTTTCTGCAATGTTGGCATCAATCACGTGATTACACCGTGGAGTAGCTAAGTTTGCACAGCGCCGGAAAGTCAAAAAAATTGAAAAATGGTTGTGGATTGTTTGGCTGAATGACTCATTCTTCAATAGTTTCTTCACCCACGAAGATTTCTTCGGTGTAGCAATCGATTGTCTCAGATTTGGTGACGTTTCCGGTAGTGACACTTGCAATGAACTGTAAAAAATATTATATCGTACTTCCGTCAGCATTAAAATAATGCAAATAAATCAATACGAATAAAAAACGTGACCAATTGCTGTCATCAAGGATGAGCATAAATGGGGACAGAACAAAATTAATACCAGTATATAAAATAATTAATAAGTTGCTCATAATGGCCATCATCCTTTGAACAAAATTATTTAAAATAAAAAGAATTATTATTCAGTCTGAAATATTTGAATAAGAAAAGATTGTTGTTGGGCTTGCTGTTTAATTCAAATTTGCACATAACTAGGACAAACTTTTTTTCGAAAACCCCTTGAATCTAGTAAGACAGCTATAAAAACATGGCAACTTTCGTTCAAATTTACTTTTCAAATGTGCATTGTGATTAAAAAAAGGTAAACAGAGTCATTGAACTAGACAACATTAAAAATAATTAAATTGAGCACCTGTGTACAACTTTTTTGTTCAATAAAATTGTTTGATCTTCAATTTCAACTTTTTGAGGGCTTTTTTCCCACAGCAGCAGTCCCATCAGTGCAAAAAAGGATCTAAAAGCAATTTAAGCAAAGTCCCTTCAAACATAAAGCAGCACATTATTTTTAAAGCATTTCCTGAATAATTAAATTGTTGGCCTTTCGCAATTAATGGGATGCGCATCAAACGCAGGAATAGTTTATTTTCGTCTTGAAATGTCATTTCAAAAGTTCAGGTGCGCATTTTATGCACAGAAGGGGTGTCAGGTGAGAATGACAAAGACCTTATAGAAATAAGTATAAACCGTACGCAGCCTAATCCTCCGGCCTAGGAGGTCTTCCCTCAGGGAATTCGTGAGAAAATAAGGTCACGTGTGTGTTTGCGAGTCTTTGTCTTGGAAGATCAGAATCCTCAAGATATTGCAATCATCCACACAAGTCACATACAAAGACAAGTCCTCAGGGAGGAAATTGATAAATCCGCTAGCAACCGTAGGAAGGCAAGGCTACTCTCAGAGTGACGGCTTCGGAGCCTCACGGAATTCAATGTAGATACAATTATAATAATTATCTTTTCTCACCCGGTTCCGCCAGGCGGTAACCGGGTGCCATGCAGGACCTTGGTTCCGTGAGCATTGTAACTTTGCACATGTGGAGCCCGAGCGAGGATGCTACGCTCGGGCCTCCCCACGCACTCTCTTGACCCCACAAGGGGCACAGAATACTTTTTAAATTGCTTCGAGTATTATATTATACAGCTTAAATTATTCAGGGAAATTCCTGCTGCTTGCTTTCTATAGTGTATTTTTTTGTCTATGTTATTCAGCCAAATAAAGTAGTTCAGTAATCCAAAACTCACAATGTCATCCATTCCCTGACATGCGTCTCTGGAAAGTGACATTTCTAAGCCTTCTTCGCCATCTATTTGCCTCTCCACTTCACAAGCTTCTGCTGCATCATCTGCAATTGACCTCAGGGAAATGCTTCCCTGGAAACCCTGAGCATCGTCCAGTTTCAGCGTAACTTGAGAGTCTTTGCAGTCTGCCCAGACCTCAGTCGAGTTTCCTACTTTGATTGTTGGGGATCCGTCTGGTGCTCTACGGAATCTCCTGTCTATTTTAATCAAGTACATTATTTCAACTTACTGTACTCGCATACATTTTCGCAAAAAAATGTTTCTCTTCATTACCTTGGAACATTTCTCCATGCGACCCAAATGCTGAATCCAAGCTAAACACTTGCTCCACAATGAATGAATCCACGCTTTGAACGACTTGGAATTCCTTTCCAGTAATGAAGGACCTTTTTGGTCTTTTCATTTCTCGCGGGTTCATTGACTGCTGCTGATATGGCAGTGATGGTGGCATTGAAGGAGTGCGGTAGACAACCTGCTGATTATTCGGCCAATTCGGAGAAGCATAAAGTGGCACGTAATCGCCGGAATAAAGTGGTTCATATGGTGGCTGATAACTTGGAGCAGGCGAAGGAGCTGGAGCAGGTGCTGGGTAAGTTGGAGCTGGATAAGAAGCAACAGGGCCTGGGTAAGATGGGGCAGGGTAAGACGCAACTGGGCCTGGATATGATGGAGCTGGATAAGTGGGAGCAGGAGCTGGATAAGATGGAGCAGGAGCTGGATAAGATGGGGCAGGTGCAGGATAAGATGGAGCTGGATAAGATGGAGTAGGAGCTGGATAAGATGGGGCAGGTGCAGGATAAGATGGCGCAGGAGCTGGATAAGATGGAGCAGGTGCAGGATAAGATGGCGCAGGAGCTGGATAAGTGGGAGTAGGGGCAGGGTAAGCAGGAGCTGGATAAGTGGGAGTAGG